CAAGACGTTTGTTTTTTTAAATAATAACATTTTGGAAGCTATTACAATAAAATATTTCGAAAGGATAGAAAGCTGCCAAATAAAATTGGAAAAAATATATTTGAATAATGTATAATAATCCAATAAAATAAAATGAATGTATGAACTTTTTTATAAAACGTCACAAGACTTTCTGCTATCCGAATGTTAGCGCTTTGTAGCAACAGATACATTGTTCTATATCATTGAAACATTCTANCAAGACGTTTGTTTTTTTAAATAATAACATTTTGGAAGCTATTACAATAAAATATTTCGAAAGGATAGAAAGCTGCCAAATAAAATTGGAAAAAATATATTTGAATAATGTATAATAATCCAATAAAATAAAATGAATGTATGAACTTTTTTATAAAACGTCACAAGACTTTCTGCTATCCGAATGTTAGCGCTTTGTAGCAACAGATACATTGTTCTATATCATTGAAACATTCTATTTTTCCTGTTCCAAACGTATCTTAAATTCTTCAATTATTTGAAAAATCTTGTGTTTCAAGTAAAGAACTACCCTCTTTTTAACGTTAAAATGACCCTTACTACTGTAACGTTTAGATTAGTGAACAAAAGAAGCGTTCGTCTGTTTTAGTGCGACAATGCAATTTTTAACGTGAAACAAAAGAGACTTTTTAACTAAATTACAAAATTTAAGATGCGTTTGAAGAAAGAAGAACTTTCCTTTAAATCCCTATCTGAACCAATATTGCAAAAAAAGAAATTATCAAAAAATTTCTCTCTTCAAATTCTTTTGTTCTCCAACTAATTCGGATACAGAAGATTTAACTGCGCCTTATAAAGTGCAGCAATTTCAGCGAAACATGAAATATTCGTTGGATGCTTGGCCAGCATCAATCATCGCTCGTGCTTGTTACGAAGCGTTTATGCCCCCGAATAAAATCGGTACCGAGGAACCATAATCGATCAGGGTCAATGTGAAGGTGGACTGGTGAAAATCCGTCTGGGTTGCGCATTTTCGTCTCCTCTGCGGAGAAAAGGGCCGCGGAAAGGAAAAAACGAGCAAGAAAGAGAGGAGGAAAAGAAGCGTATGCTAATGCAGCATGGCAACGTTTACAAACGGCGCTACACGGGACTATAGTATCGAATACTGTGAAACAATGAGTATGTAGGAGAGAAAGAAAGAACGACCGAGAGCGGAGAGACGATACAGAGGGAGTATGGGTTACAGGAGCGTGAGAGTGTTGTTGCAAAGGCCGACAGGTCAGCGGATCACCCGGAACTCGCGCTTAGACTCCGCCGAGTTTGAATGTACGCCGATCTTACCTTCTTGCCTTACCTACCTCCCTACCTTTTACCTATATATTGCTCTCTACGCTTGCACAACGGAGATGCCCGAAGTTTTTGATTCTCGAAATTCCGTTTAATATTCTCGCCGCGAAAAATCCTATCGATAGAAAACGGAATTGTTCGTCGAAAAAATCGCGAATTCCGAAGGGGCACTGGAATTATGTGCAGATCAGTCCGCTCGGCGAGCTATAACCGGTATATTCCTTTCATTTGGTCGATAAATCATCTTATCTGATCCTATCGCGTCGTTTTTTTATCATTTACTTCATCTTAATGCAATGTTTCTATTTTATAATCGAATGAGTAAGCAACTGAAATGTTCGGGGGGGGGGGGCGGAATGAAATACAAAATTAGGAAGTCCGAGGAATTTTGAGGATATTGTTGTAGCTGCTTTTAAATTATTATTTATCGTTTATTATTACATTTATCTGAGAGAATCATTTTTCATGAGAATCAGTAGATCACTGATGGCACTATAGACGTAAATGACGTGGATGTTTATGCAAAGTGACAACTTTGTTACAATGTGGGAAGCAAGAAAATATTTATACATTTATTTAATTGTTCAGTTAAAAATTGAGTAAAAAAAGTCTTGTCTCCGTTATTGCAATATAAATGCACAAAGATAACATCCAATGATATAAACATATAAATTATTTAAACAATTTGACAGCACATATAATCTCGTTCTGCATAAGATTTGTAAGCAAATCCAATTAAAAAAATATATGAAAGAATTTGTCATTGATAATTTATTGTTAACGAATTTGCTATATTTTCAATCAACTTATTATCTTTGTCGATATTTTGACTGCAATTTTTGTCAAATTAAAACGAAGATCTCGCCATAAAGCAAAGACGCGAAATTCACAGAAATATGTTACAAAAAGATCAACGTTAAGACACAATGATATTTGCATTGAAGATGATAGCGAAACGTTTTGAGACCGACGCCGCGCCGTGTGCCAACGCTAAAATGACCGACAAGATGAAGACGAACTTAAAACGCGGGAAGAGGAAAAGCATCGCGACAGAAACGGTATCAACGCGATTCAAATATATTCGTTTACAGATAGCGAAGGACCATCTTTGTTTGTATTGCAATAATCTCGCTTACCTTGTTGAAAGTAATTGGCTTTTCGAAGAAATACGCAAACCAAGGCCATAAGCTGTAGCTGGGAAAGTCTCTGGCGGGTCGAGGGTGGCAATGGCAGTAAATCACGTAGGTTGGCGATTTCGGCATTTATCAGGTCCCTTCGAAGTTTGCTGGCACCTTTCGTTGACTTGCTCGCATCTATCCTTCAAGCACACGCGGATGTTACCGATACGCTATACCTATCGAAATCACCTAAACCTACTTCTCAAAAGGAACGTCTTCAAAAATCTCCATCGATTCATTCGAAAACGCAACCATCCGAAACGCCAGGAAGGTCAAAGTTCCACAATCGAACGGAGATGTGCCTTATCCACGCAAACTACATCAACTACATTTAATTCGATATAATGATCAATTCGATCGCTGCATCTCACCGAATATCTCCATCTCGAATTGATATTTAACTACGAGGGACCGTTGCGGGGTGTCGAATAACTTGTTTCGAAACAATTCCAAAAAAATTTTGAGGGACCAAAAGAGATCCTGGTAGCACGAGCAGGACGACTGGTAGCGCGACGACTGCTTCGATTCCTCGAGTTTGCCAATGTCGATCGAACCACCACCGAACCGCACCGTCACAGTCGTCCGACGAAAGGGGTAGAAATTACGATTGACAGTGGATATGTCCGATGCGTGGGTCCGCGGCGTGGAAATATCAGCGGTAACCGAAACGCGAGCCGATCACCAGGCATTACTTACCGATTGAACATATTTCGGTAACCAGGAGGACATTAGTAGCGGATCACTTGTAGACGACGAGCGAGACATCCGGGTCGGCAGGTTCTCGCAAAACTGCAGCTACGATCTAACATCCGGGTCATAACGCGCCACTACACTGAACACGTGGATACTGGCGGAGGCTGGTTCTCCTACCTTCTCACCTCCGCAGCCCCCCTTTTTCTCCGTTGCCTCCACCACTGTTGCCCTCGCCCTCGCCTCCCTTTCCGTCTCCCCCGGTATTCGTTGTCCTCCTCATGCTCTCTATTGTCGCGATCTCTTCCTCTCTCTCTCTCCCTCCCTCCCCCTTCTCACTGGCTGTTTGTATTCCCGAGTCTCTTTCGCCCCCTCGATTTATCTCACTCATTTATTTTCCCTTTCTCCACTTTTTCGCTCGCTCTCGCTCCTTTACCCCGTACACTGCTACCACGGTCACGATCGAGTAGTCGTGTCCCTATACCGTCGTCGACATCGCCATCCTCGCCACCACCACCAGCTACTGGTTACGTTTCCTGTATAACATGCGGTTTTGCCCGAATCGTTTGCGCTAACGTCCCGCCTCGAGGACTTTTCGGTATCCACCGGGTACCGTCCAAAGGGGTACCATTTGCTGGACGATGATGTCCCGATCCCGCTTCGAACCGTCATCCTCTGGCTGGCGATCGATGAAAATCGCGTCGAAGAGATTACGATTGTTGATCAGAGATCGTTGATATCCTCTCCTTGTTCTGGTGGAGCAGGCAACATTTTTTAAACGATTTTTGAAATCCGAGACAGGGCTTTGATAATGCTTATGGTAACGTGGCTGGGGGAACATCTTCGTTCGTGATTTTTGCTCAATCGATCTTGAAAACTTTGTTTATCCTACGAATAGCACTACACACTGTTTTAATTGATCACGCGAGAGTTTTCGGTAAAAAGATTGTTGCCGAATTTGTTTTACAAGCTTTGTTTACTTGACAAATGATAATATTTATGGTATTCGCATACAGGGTGTCCCAGCTGCAGGAGTAAAGCATGTAAGAAGATACAAATTTTTTTTCTCCAAGGATATTCCCTTTTAAAAAGCATGTCAACGGTGATACAAACATTTGTGATAACGTAAATACAATGGAGATATTTGGGTGGTCCCTTCTCTTTAGCTGGAACACCCTGTAATGTAATTGTCGTTTAACTTGTGTACCATTAAAACGTAAAAAATTGTAAACTTGTAGAATCATATAATGCGATGTTTATTTATTCGTTGTGAACTAAACTTATTATTTAATTCTAATAACAATCAATGAACTATACAAAAGTTGGCTCAATCTTTTCAAACAAACTGATATTTGAAAAGGTCTGCTAAACAGCACCAGTAATTACGGATGTCTCATACATTCGTGACAAGTAAATTAAACATGAGCTAAATAACTTGTTTCAGAGTAAATAAAAAGGAATTTTGCTAGGTTTGCTGAAATCTTAGCTAAAGAAATCTACACAAAAAAATTCTCGTCACTACTTGCTCTCTTATCCTATCCTTTTTGTAAAATCGTATGCTTTTAAACACTTTCCCTTATGACATCTTTTTTCCGCGCACAACTGTGAAAAATGAGTACGCAAGAACAGAAAATACGAAAGCTTGAAACATCAGATAGAAAAGACAAAAGTCATGACATCTTGCTTTCGACATTAATTGCCGAATTATTAAAACCTGCAATAAGCAACTGTGAAACACAAATGAACGATGCTTGGATGCTCAACTTCTCTTAATCAAATGCGTTAAATCAAAATGTTCTTTTAACACGACGTAACAAACATTTTAAACTAAGAATTCAATTTTTACTATTATATTATCGCCGAAACTGGTTATAGCTTTGTCTTCGTAAAAAAATGTTAAAAATGTAAGCGTTTAAAAACATATGATCCCAATTCGAAAACAAATCGAATTGCACATTATCTACGCATTCTGTATTACAAAAATATTAAAGTGTATTAAATAATCAACCTCTTGGTATTAAACATTGTGCAACTAATAGAATATTCGTTTTTTATTGGTTTTACAGTTAATGGACTATAATGCATTTAATATTTTGTTCAATAGTATGGAACTGTCGTTCGGATTTCATTGTATCAAGCATTCCACAATTTTGAAACTCTTAAAGCATGTAGAGAAGTTTCTATTATTAACAGTACTATCATATTAAAAAACTTTCACATAGTCTA